AACAAAGACAAATGCACAAAAGGCCTGGGTAGAACGCGCCAGTAACCAGACATACAGAACAACTCCTGGTCTAGGAGATCTTTACACGTTTCCTGTCACGATTGCTGGCTTACGTTTTCACAATAAAGGCAAAATTACAAGAAGTCCGAGTGGCAGATATCTCTTCCATACGACATTTAAACCTATCTCGGTGCTCATTAGACTCTATTAGAGAAAATTTAGTTACCTGAAGTGGTCGCAGTTGATTGTGATCCTGCAAAATAACAACATATTCATGTCTTAGTTCATTTTGTTTCATGCAAAACTGTTGTCTACATTACACTGACTGCTCTCCTAACTGGGCGATCTGTCTCATTCCATAGAACGTGAAAGTCAGATGAAGAGAACGTCGATTAAAATGTTTCTCTGACAACGGCAGAGTGAAGATGAAAACCTGTTCGCGTGTGCATGGTAGGGTGTAACTATGAGAGGAGTAGAACAAGATCTTTTAATACGGGTGACAGCTTTGGTAAACTACTCGCACATATGTGTTCTAGTCATTTTCGAATGTTGTTAGAAACCAGCAGAAACGGAAATGGAGGACTTACCAAGGGTAATTTCAGAATCCAATTGTAGTTTCGGATCATCTCGAATCCTGAGCTACTGTCCTGCCTTATAGAAGTTTAGTCGACGCATTAACAATGATTTGATACATCATGCATGGCAAGAAGTCTGGTTATGTAACAAGCATGTGTGAAAATGGATTCTTTTTGTAGTAGAAGATCAGCAGTATCTCGATTTATGGCCATTTTGGTTGCTCAAGACAACAACTGATTCATTTTCGGATCTGACTGTTTAGAATCCGAATAAAAGGCAACCCTGTTCAAAAATGTCCTAATTACCTGAACTAGTGGCAGTTGATTGTGATCCTGCAAAATAACAGCAAATCCATGTCTTAGTTCATTTTGTTTCATACACAATTCTTGTCAACATTACACTGACTTCTCTGCAAACCAGGCGATCTATCTCATTGCATAGGATGTGAAAGTACGATGAAGAGAACGAAACGTTTTTCTGATAACGGCACCGTACTAGCGAGAATTTGTTCGGGTATGTATGGTCCAGTGCTACTATCACAAGAGTAGAACACAGTCTTTGAATGCTGCTCATAACCGGTTTAGACTATTTGCACAGGCATGTTCCAAAATCATTTTGGGATCTGACTGCTTAGGTCGAAGTAGAATGCAACTCTGTTGAAAACGGTGCTAGTTCGCACCTAAACTTGCACATAGTTTAACTACAATCTTTGATGAAATCAAAAATATGTAATGCCTAAGTCGCTGCTATAAAATGAAGATTGTAAATCGTGTCTCTGAAGTACCTTTAGTGCTTGTAATTTGACAAGTTTTTGGACAACTTCCTTCTTCGTCATGATTACATGCTTGTTCGCATTGTCCACTACAACATTGATCACCTGTAGAACATGGTGTTGATAATGCAAAGCACTGGTTAGTAGTCGATGATGACACTTGTCCTAAACCGTAAATACAGAGTTAAAGAGCATACCGTTGAATTGCATAGTGGGACATGAGTGAGGAACAAAGTTCATATGCAAAAGCAATTGTGTTTGGGTCGGTCAGCAGGATTTTTGATCCGTTAATAGTACTGCTAAGTGTAATTTGGCGACACAGTTCTATGAAGTTTACCATGGCGGGAAGAAGAGTTGTTATTTCAGAGTGCTTATCAGCGCACGCTTCTTGTTTCCCGTGTGTAATTAAGAGGAGGATGTCAATCTCGTTAAGGATCCGTAAATTGGATGCAAAAACTGACAAGATAGTATCCCGCGTTTTTAAAATGATCTGTTCTGTGTGATGAAGATTGGTGACCGTGGCAGTGAATAACCGTGAAGAAATCGCCGTTAAAAGGGTAAACGCGCTGTTATGTGTTTTTGTTGGAATAATAGTGTTTTCAGCTTCAGAGTACAATAACAATCAGCGTTTAAGTTAGATTACGATAATTGTCTGCGGTTGCCTTTGGCGGTCATTCCATATCCCTTCATAGTCCGCTGCGCGCTCGGAAGATATTTCTAGGTCCGATAGTTCTAGTTACCTGGCTGTGCTGGCGTAGTCGATACTGTGATAACAGCTAAAAATAAAACAAACGTGAATTTTATTGTGAAATAAAAGAACCACTTGATTCTGTCGATTTTGAGGTTATTTCTTTGCTTGCTTTGTCAAGTTTGGTGCAGTGCCTCTTGGAACTTGTTTTTTGATGGAAAAAAACGTTTGTTACACGTTTTGAGGGGAGAAACACAATAAAAGTAAGACAATCCTTTTGGGCAGATTCTGGCGTAAAATCCAAGTTGTAAATTTTTTGCAAGAAAAAAGTAGCTAAGATCGTAACCGTTACTGCTCAGCTAAATGTAACGATTTACGTTGCACTTACAGTTATAAGTTGTGATTGTTCCACTGGCAGAAATTTCATATGAAAATGGACCGATGCTATCTGACGTGTATTGTTCGGTGACTCCCGCAGCACCGTTCGTTCCGTACGTATAAATCGTTGTCTTTGATAATTTGCCTCCCGGTGATAAAATTATATATGATTTGAAAAAGAAATACAATCCCAGCCCATTCGTGCCGTCCTGAAATATTCCGGTCTCATGAACATAAAATGAACATGCAGATGAGAATCGGAATGCTACACCCGACACACCAACCGTAAAACCACCAAAAATATACATATTACCAAAATTAATTAAGAGCGTAGTTAAACTACCCGTGTTGAGTGTAAATGCGGGGGGTATCATTAAATCGCAAACGGGACAGGCACTTGGTGTTGGTAAGTAACCACCGCACCAACTTTGTGGCGAGTCAAACTGTCCACTTTCAGCAACTTGAAACGTTATGCCTAGCAAATTGAGAAAATACTGTTTCATTATATTCACCTTTCCAAAAGCTTTAGTTGTTCTCACTTTTATATGACGCTATTTTACCCGACGTATCGATCGTCACAGTAAATGGTCCATTTCGTGTACCAATCGAATACTGGTTTGTTAAACAGTTAATTGTTGATCCTTGAAATGAACCACCGGAATAGATGTACAACGCCGAATTAGTGCCAAATGTTAATGTTGTGCTGCCCCTACATATTCCATAAAGAATAATGCTAATCGAAAAACTGAATGTGAACGAGGCCGGGAAAACCAAGGTTCCCTCAATAATGAATCGGAGGACCTTTACATTTAGCCCAGCAACAGTAAAGGTTACAATCGAACCAAATGGAATAACGACAATACAACCACTGCCTGGTACTAAACCGTTTACCCATGTTGACCTATCACCGAAATTGCCACCATTTTCAGTCGCTGTTACAATAGTATTCACTAAATAATAGAAGATTCTTAATCTGTTTCTCAAATATATGCTATTCCCAAATATAATCCACACATGAATATAACAAATGCTTGCAAAAGTAATGAATCATACCATGACTAACTTTCATATTTTTCGATTTTCTTAGAGAATGTCAAAGTTCTATTACTCATTCATAATTTGTTTCAAAGAGGAATATTTACGCTAAAAGTTCATGTGTTGATACACAATAATACACTAGATTATCTGAGACTTTAAAATACAAAATTAAAAGATTCCGTATTTTTAGATATGTTTTTTCTTCATAATTTCTAAATATAGATCTCTTATTTACCAGTCCTGAAAGAAATAGTGCTTCATTCAAAAATCCGTTGAAATAAGTTTCATTCTTTCAGAATACAAGACCGATTTTCTAACCAGCGGCGTATCCAAGAGGGGGAGGGGGGCAAATGGGCAATTGCCCATTTCATTTGAAGATTTGCCCATTGTAATTTTTATTAGTAAGTGTTTGCCCATTGAAATTTTACTTGGGAGATAATCTAGTGTATTATTGTGTATCAACACATGAACTTTTAGCGTAAATATTCCTCTTTGAAACAAATTATGAATGAGTAATAGAACTTTGACATTCTCTAAGAAAATCGAAAAATATGAAAGTTAGTCATGGTATGATTCATTACTTTTGCAAGCATTTGTTATATTCATGTGTGGATTATATTTGGGAATAGCATATATTTGAGAAACAGATTAAGAATCTTCTATTATTTAGTGAATACTATTGTAACAGCGACTGAAAATGGTGGCAATTTCGGTGATAGGTCAACATGGGTAAACGGTTTAGTACCAGGCAGTGGTTGTATTGTCGTTATTCCATTTGGTTCGATTGTAACCTTTACTGTTGCTGGGCTAAATGTAAAGGTCCTCCGATTCATTATTGAGGGAACCTTGGTTTTCCCGGCCTCGTTCACATTCAGTTTTTCGATTAGCATTATTCTTTATGGAATATGTAGGGGCAGCACAACATTAACATTTGGCACTAATTCGGCGTTGTACATCTATTCCGGTGGTTCATTTCAAGGATCAACAATTAACTGTTTAACAAACCAGTATTCGATTGGTACACGAAATGGACCATTTACTGTGACGATCGATACGTCGGGTAAAATAGCGTCATATAAAAGTGAGAACAACTAAAGCTTTTGGAAAGGTGAATATAATGAAACAGTATTTTCTCAATTTGCTAGGCATAACGTTTCAAGTTGCTGAAAGTGGACAGTTTGACTCGCCACAAAGTTGGTGCGGTGGTTACTTACCAACACCAAGTGCCTGTCCCGTTTGCGATTTAATGATACCCCCCGCATTTACACTCAACACGGGTAGTTTAACTACGCTCTTAATTAATTTTGGTAATATGTATATTTTTGGTGGTTTTACGGTTGGTGTGTCGGGTGTAGCATTCCGATTCTCATCTGCATGTTCATTTTATGTTCATGAGACCGGAATATTTCAGGACGGCACGAATGGGCTGGGATTGTATTTCTTTTTCAAATCATATATAATTTTATCACCGGGAGGCAAATTATCAAAGACAACGATTTATACGTACGGAACGAACGGTGCTGCGGGAGTCACCGAACAATACACGTCAGATAGCATCGGTCCATTTTCATATGAAATTTCTGCCAGTGGAACAATCACAACTTATAACTGTAAGTGCAACGTAAATCGTTACATTTAGCTGAGCAGTAACGGTTACGATCTTAGCTACTTTTTTCTTGCAAAAAATTTACAACTTGGATTTTACGCCAGAATCTGCCCAAAAGGATTGTCTTACTTTTATTGTGTTTCTCCCCTCAAAACGTGTAACAAACGTTTTTTTCCATCAAAAAACAAGTTCCAAGAGGCACTGCACCAAACTTGACAAAGCAAGCAAAGAAATAACCTCAAAATCGACAGAATCAAGTGGTTCTTTTATTTCACAATAAAATTCACGTTTGTTTTATTTTTAGCTGTTATCACAGTATCGACTACGCCAGCACAGCCAGGTAACTAGAACTATCGGACCTAGAAATATCTTCCGAGCGCGCAGCGGACTATGAAGGGATATGGAATGACCGCCAAAGGCAACCGCAGACAATTATCGTAATCTAACTTAAACGCTGATTGTTATTGTACTCTGAAGCTGAAAACACTATTATTCCAACAAAAACACATAACAGCGCGTTTACCCTTTTAACGGCGATTTCTTCACGGTTATTCACTGCCACGGTCACCAATCTTCATCACACAGAACAGATCATTTTAAAAACGCGGGATACTATCTTGTCAGTTTTTGCATCCAATTTACGGATCCTTAACGAGATTGACATCCTCCTCTTAATTACACACGGGAAACAAGAAGCGTGCGCTGATAAGCACTCTGAAATAACAACTCTTCTTCCCGCCATGGTAAACTTCATAGAACTGTGTCGCCAAATTACACTTAGCAGTACTATTAACGGATCAAAAATCCTGCTGACCGACCCAAACACAATTGCTTTTGCATATGAACTTTGTTCCTCACTCATGTCCCACTATGCAATTCAACGGTATGCTCTTTAACTCTGTATTTACGGTTTAGGACAAGTGTCATCATCGACTACTAACCAGTGCTTTGCATTATCAACACCATGTTCTACAGGTGATCAATGTTGTAGTGGACAATGCGAACAAGCATGTAATCATGACGAAGAAGGAAGTTGTCCAAAAACTTGTCAAATTACAAGCACTAAAGGTACTTCAGAGACACGATTTACAATCTTCATTTTATAGCAGCGACTTAGGCATTACATATTTTTGATTTCATCAAAGATTGTAGTTAAACTATGTGCAAGTTTAGGTGCGAACTAGCACCGTTTTCAACAGAGTTGCATTCTACTTCGACCTAAGCAGTCAGATCCCAAAATGATTTTGGAACATGCCTGTGCAAATAGTCTAAACCGGTTATGAGCAGCATTCAAAGACTGTGTTCTACTCTTGTGATAGTAGCACTGGACCATACATACCCGAACAAATTCTCGCTAGTACGGTGCCGTTATCAGAAAAACGTTTCGTTCTCTTCATCGTACTTTCACATCCTATGCAATGAGATAGATCGCCTGGTTTGCAGAGAAGTCAGTGTAATGTTGACAAGAATTGTGTATGAAACAAAATGAACTAAGACATGGATTTGCTGTTATTTTGCAGGATCACAATCAACTGCCACTAGTTCAGGTAATTAGGACATTTTTGAACAGGGTTGCCTTTTATTCGGATTCTAAACAGTCAGATCCGAAAATGAATCAGTTGTTGTCTTGAGCAACCAAAATGGCCATAAATCGAGATACTGCTGATCTTCTACTACAAAAAGAATCCATTTTCACACATGCTTGTTACATAACCAGACTTCTTGCCATGCATGATGTATCAAATCATTGTTAATGCGTCGACTAAACTTCTATAAGGCAGGACAGTAGCTCAGGATTCGAGATGATCCGAAACTACAATTGGATTCTGAAATTACCCTTGGTAAGTCCTCCATTTCCGTTTCTGCTGGTTTCTAACAACATTCGAAAATGACTAGAACACATATGTGCGAGTAGTTTACCAAAGCTGTCACCCGTATTAAAAGATCTTGTTCTACTCCTCTCATAGTTACACCCTACCATGCACACGCGAACAGGTTTTCATCTTCACTCTGCCGTTGTCAGAGAAACATTTTAATCGACGTTCTCTTCATCTGACTTTCACGTTCTATGGAATGAGACAGATCGCCCAGTTAGGAGAGCAGTCAGTGTAATGTAGACAACAGTTTTGCATGAAACAAAATGAACTAAGACATGAATATGTTGTTATTTTGCAGGATCACAATCAACTGCGACCACTTCAGGTAACTAAATTTTCTCTAATAGAGTCTAATGAGCACCGAGATAGGTTTAAATGTCGTATGGAAGAGATATCTGCCACTCGGACTTCTTGTAATTTTGCCTTTATTGTGAAAACGTAAGCCAGCAATCGTGACAGGAAACGTGTAAAGATCTCCTAGACCAGGAGTTGTTCTGTATGTCTGGTTACTGGCGCGTTCTACCCAGGCCTTTTGTGCATTTGTCTTTGTT